CCATAATCCCACTAACCACGTCATTTTCCATGTTCTTTAGCCCATGCTGCTGATACAAACACAAATTAGCCGTACTATAAGCATTAACATCAAAATGAGCAATTTCCATGTTCTTTAGCCCCTCAAAACCCATATTAAGCACACTATGAGCATTAACATCGAAAGCACTCAACAATCCAGCTCTGCGACTACATGCTCCCTACAATCTGTCTCCATAATATTCGTAGAGCCACTCTTCTGACAAATTGAAGCATGCGCTGCTACCCCATCACGAACTGTATGGGAACCGACTCCAACATCCCATTAGTTTGTTGTCAGGCGGGTATAGATGGGTATGTCGCTAGTGGGTGTGGGGATAGATTTGAAAATATACCTGCGTGGGCGGGTGTGGATTTGAAAATTTGTACCCATCATGGGTGGTGGGCGGGTGGTAGATTAAAAAATATTAGATGGGTATAGGAATGGAGGAGGGGGTATCTGCAACCGACCCGCCCGTTTGCCATCCCTAAACGTGGCCCTGGCACTTATCCCGTCGATCAGAAACTAAGCTTGGAAACCCCCTAACACAGGTGTGGTCAAGCTCAATACGGACGGAGCTGTAACCCAGACTTCAATGGAGGCGTCGAGTGGTGGTGTGCTTCGGAAAACTGATGGTGAATGAGTTGTGGGCTACTGCTGTAACATAGGTCGAAGTTCGGTTCTCCACACTGAGTTGTGGGCACTGTTGGATGGCTTGCACATCGCCCCTAGTTATTCGATTTTGATTATCTGAAAATTTGGATATCTAATTTTTCGAATTGGATCTGGATCACTAATTTAATTATTAGAAAATCCGATATTTGAATTTATTGGAGTGGTCAAGCTCAATCCGATTTTTGTTAATTATATATAAAAGCATTATTTAAGGACTTATTTGATTTTTTAGCAATAGTTTAGAGATAAAACTAAATATTAACATTTTTATTAATGTTGTCACATCAGATAATGGTGGAATGGTCATTTTGTTATAAATCGATAATGTTAGTGATTAAAATGTTATTTTTAAAGCTTAAGTGGGAAAAATAAAAAAATTACTCAAATATTAGTGACCCATTATGTAGTTTACCTTTTTCTTTTATCTTTTCTTTCCCCTCTTTTTTTTTCCTCGTTTTTTTCTGTTTTGCATGCCCTTCTCCTATTCTAACGCCTCCCCTGACAGATGCTGGTTGCTTCAAGTTTTTAGCTTTGGCTTTGGTCAGTGTGTGTTTGGGGTTGTTCCCTTATCAGTGCCAAGGTTATCCCGAGCGGTTCTTGTGTTCGCTCGATTGCTTTGGATTCGAGCTTTGGCAGAACAGTTACTCTCTAACTTTGTCTGTGTTTGTTGATGATTTACCCGATGACTAGGAGCCTATTTTTTGTGGATGGGAAGGCATCCACGGCCCAGGGACTAAGGTAAGGCAAGATGTTCCCGACAAGCTCTTAATTTATGTGCGCGTTATGCGTCTGATTCTTGTCTTTGTTTGTTGGATTTGTGCAAGTTTATATGGTACGGAAAGAGGGATACACCAGGCACTCAAATTTTGATGAAGGCTTAATGAAAAAGGGTAAACTACACTTTTAGTACCCAACTATCATTTTTATTTTTTTTGGTCATCAAACTATTTTCTTTTTTAAAATTACATCTAATGTTTAGTTTTGATTTTATTTTGGTCACCCTCCGTTAAAAAATTAACGTTGATGATAACATGTCATCATAAGATAATGTCATGTTATCGTCACAAAAATTTTAAATCTTAAATCACGCCTTAATCCATAAATCTATGAATTTTTATGCTTAAACTTAATATTTAAGTCTTAACCCTAAATTCAAATTTACAATGATGCGACAGTTACCAAAACTACTTATTCTCTTCGGCAGTTTAAGAGTTACAAGCAAATCGACGGGGTCTTTGGGCAGTGGTGGTGGCTGATCACGACCATCTCCATGCCCTTTTGTTCCCATATTTCATTATTTCCTTTTACTTTTACTAGTTTTCAATTTTAGTTTTATCATAGTTTAATATTATTATTTTCTCTTGGTCATTTTTCTAGTAAAGAGTATCATGGTTACCGGTGTTTGTGGACTTCCGGTGCATGTTTATTTATTAGTTTTTCTTTTTGGTTTGTATTTCAACATGCTTCCATGGATGGGATTTTCTTTCAGGGGAGATCGTCTTCTCTGTTTGTCGTTTTGAATCTTCTTCAAATTTTTCTCCTCCATGGTTAGTGTCAGGAGCCGTTGGTGCAATCAGTTTTTATATATATTTAAAAAGTTCAGGGTCTTATTGTACAGTTAATCCATTATGAAAATTTAGTTATAGTTCTAATAAAAATCTTATTAAACCGTGATTTCGAATTTTCTGAAATCGCAATCGTATTCAGAAATTGATATATACAAGTATTGGATGAATATGGGAAGATATTAATGACGAAGTTATCCAAGGAGAAATTGAAAGCTCTGCTACAAAGCTTGGGGTAAGATTTGGAGCAGAAATTTGTGGAGTCCTAGTTCGGAAACTGCAATGGTTATTTGTTTGTGAATAGCAGTTTGAATTCAAATTATTTTAGATTTATATTAAAATTATAACTGATTTTTTATTAAAAAAATTAATCGCTCTATGGGTTTTTAAACTTTTTAAATATATTTTTAAAAATTAATAATATATATTAGTGTATAGCATTAATGATGTATTTCATATACAATATTTATTATAGAAAATAACCTCAGTGACCAAAAATCTCAGATAATATACGATTTTGATCAACTTTTTTTGGATTTGCGAAAATGACCAACAAAATCGCAATGCGATCTCTAATTCGCATTGCGATCTCTACTATCGTAAATTCGCATTGCATTTCGCGTTGCGATAGTTGAAAATCGCGTTGCGATTTTTCATTTCGCGTTGCGCTAGTCTACAGTTGTCGTTGCGATTTTTCAAATTCGTTGCGATAGTCTACAGTTGTTGTTGCGATAATTAAAAAAAAAGATTTTGTTTCTTAAGAATTTTCTTCTAAAAAGATAGTATCCGCGCGGACGTGTCGAAGACACGTACGACCACGACCCGAGACGGACGGCGGCGGCGGCGGCGCGCGAGAGTCCCCCTTGTTCTCTATCACTCAACAAGGAAGTGGGAAAGCCAAGCCTTAAATACCATTCCCAATAGTGTTTCCAATACTATGTGGGATTTGAGCATTACCAACACTTGTTCCCAATACTATGTGGGATTGAGCCTTAAATAGTGATATTATTTTTGAATGTTTTATTTAAAATTGCAATAATCGCGATTGATTGTAGATTAACTTTTAATTATGACATATTTAATCGTATAATACTAATGCAATTGGTTGCTGGTTCAATTGTTTTAAGGTGCATGATTATTAATTGTTTCCTGAATAATCACATTGTATTGGAAAAAAGTGTTGGTAATGCTTAATCCCACATAGTATTAGAAATACTATTGGGAATGATATTTAAGGCTTGGCTTTCCCACTTCCTTGTTGAGTGATAGAGAACAAGGGGGACTCTCGCGCGTCGCCGCCGCCGCCGTCCGTCTCGTCTCGGGTCGTGGTCGTGGTCGTGGTAATACGTGTCTTCGACACGTCCGCACGGATACTATCTTTTTAGAGAAAATTCTTAAGAAATAAAATCTTTTTTTTAACTATCACAACGAATTTTCGTAACGAATTTGTAAAATCGTAACGACAACTGTAGACTATCGCAACACGAAATGAAAAATCGCAACGCGAAAGAAAAGGAAGGCGTTTAGCTTATTTAGCCAAACAATGAACCCCGTCGCCTACCTAAATAGCTTTGGAAATAAAAGGAAGGTGTTTTTCCCCAACAAATACAACCCGATGGATTCTTAAGGACAAGCATCCCCACAAATAGACCAATCATTAGAAAGAAAGAAAGAAAAGTTAAATTAGATCATTAGTTATTAATATATTATTTTTTATATATTTTATTCATTCAAATTTTAAAAATAATAATAATAATAATAATAATAATACTAATAAGATATTTTTATTTTATTTTTTGAATTTTTATGTTATGTTCTCTTTCTTCGGTAGTTAATATTTTAATATTACTATTTGATTAGTAAAATAATACCATGTTATATTGTTTTACTAAATAAATAAAAAATACTATGCTACTTGTATTAAAAAAAGTATTCGGATCTTAGACCTGTTATACCAATGAACTTAATATGAAACTTATCCATTGAATCTATTAACTTTAAATATATTTTATAATAAAAAAACAAATATTTATTAAAAAATCCAATTAAGAATCTTATTCAAAAGTATTGCTAAACTAAGATCCATAAAATCAAGCGAGTATTGTGGATCAATGTCAAATAAATTTCTTTTCACTTTCGGTTTTAAGTTTTCGTTTTGACTAATTCGGATCGATTCGGGTCAACTTGACTCCCAGTGAAAGTTTTTTATATATTCAAGAACTTAAACTCGATACATACTTAAACGATATCAAGTTACTAAACACTTGAATCAATCACGTTAATAATATATATTAATGTTTAAGACAGCGTTTTATTATATTTTAATTTGGGAATAATAAACGGAAATATATCATTCGTTAGTAACGTAAAAAACCATGAACTTAAAAAAGGAGAGAGAGAAGCAGCGTCAGAGATTGAGTGGTGAGCGGGAACTCTATAAAACTAGACGGAACGCAAGACAACGCAACGCAACAACCTCTCCCTCAAACGTTGTCTCGCTCATAATTCTTTCCGTTTGCTTCCTCTCCTTCCCTTTTTAATCGTTGCTTTCTCCAAACTCAGTTCTTTCTTCCAGTTTTATCCGTTCATCATTTTCATCTTCCTTCTCTGCTTCTCTTGACTGTGTCCTCTCCTCTCTTTCTGAAGTTTTTTTGGATAAGTTTCAATTGTATTACCCAGTCTTTCTGAGTTTTTGTTCTCAAAGTTTCATTAATTTTTTTTTAAAAAAGTCTTCGTTTTTTTTGTGAAAAACAACAAACAAGAAGAAATGAGTATGAGAATTGAATATCAAGAGGTAAATGGCTTCTTCTTCATCTGTATTTATTTCCATTTCCTTGCCTGTTGATGTTCATTTGTTTTCTTTTTTAATCGTTCATAATTGCGTGGGGGTTGTATTTTAGGAGGATATAAAGAACTCAAGAGGAGTTTTTCTGTTTACTTGCAGATGGTTGCCTTTCTCTTCTCCTACAGCTCTTGTTTTCCTTTGCCATGGTACGCCCCTCTCTCTTTCGACAATCCCTCGCTCATTAGCATATTACATATCAAACAAACATGTAACATTGTGGTTGCAGGTTATGGCATGGAATGCAGTGGATTCATGAAAGGTAATCCAATATTAATTAAAAATAAAAGTATAAGCTTCCCTTTACATATTCTCTGCCATTATCTTCCTTTTAAAATTTTTATTGCCATTCTAATGCATAGGTGCAAGTGTAACCTCAAAGATAATGTATATAATTCAAGCACCAAGACAAAAACAAGTTTATCCTATCAACATTGGCATGACGTTCTCAATGATTTTTCTTTCAATTATACGCAAAGCCTAATAAAGCCAACATTTTCAATTCTGGCATTTTAACAGCATTCTTTTAACAGAATGTGGAACCAGGCTAGCCAAAGCAGGATACGCCGTGTTTGGGATTGATTATGAAGGACATGGAAAATCCGAGGGTGCTCGGTGTTTCATTAAGAATTTTGAAAACATCGTTAACGACTGCGATGAATACTTCAAATCTGTCTGCGGTATATGTCTTAAACACTTCGATTCACTTATCCATGTGCCAAATCCTTAATCTTCAGCTGTGGTTTATTCTTCCAGCTGAGGAAAAATACAGGGAAAAGAGCAGATTTTTATACGGAGAGTCGATGGGAGGTGCAGTGGCCTTACTGCTCCATAAAAAAGACTCTTCCTTTTGGAATGGTGCTGTTCTTGTAGCACCCATGTGTAAGATATCAGAAAATGTGAAGCCGCATCCAGTGGTCGTAAATATATTGACTAAAATGGAACTATTTATACCTAAATGGAAGATTGTACCCACAAGAGATGTAATTGACTCAGCTTTCAAAGACCCTGTTAAACGAAAAGAGGTGAGTACATTGTTCTTTGTTAAATCTTGGACTGGTCCTATTGGATTCATCCATTTTATGTTTGGTGCAGATAAGGAACAATAAGCTGATATACCATGGGAAACCCAGACTAAAAACAGCGTTGGAAATGCTTAGAACCAGCATGAGCATTGAAAATAGTTTAAATGAGGTTTAAAAATCTTTCCCTCTATGTGCCTCAACATGCTGTATCATCGGTCTTGTATGATTCTTGGGGTTTTTTTTGGCAGATGACGCTCCCCTTCTTCGTTTTGCACGGCGAAGCAGATACGGTGACGGACCCCGAAGTAAGCAAGGCGTTGTACGAGAAAGCAAGAAGCAATGACAAGACCATAAGATTGTATCCAGGGATGTGGCACGGGTTGACGGCGGGAGAGTCCGATGAAAACGTCGAAATTGTCTTTGCGGATATCAGAGCTTGGATCGACAGGCTATGCACTACGTTAGAGCAATTTCTTCAACCATTCGACGAAGGTGCGACGGCCATTGGCGGAACACAATCAAACGGGGGGCATCTGGGCACAGATTGAAGGGACCTCACGCGCGACCTCACTCGGCAATGTAGCCTCATTGTGTGAAGTAACTACAATTGGTCCATTACTGTTTGGATTGGATAGATTTTTCTTTAGGGTTCCTGAATATAATTGATGTTTTAGCTTTACATGATTAAATTATTGTAAAAAACAAGCTTTGTTTTGGCCCATTATTTATCTCATGGGCTTAGTTGATTTTAAAAATAAATTTTGCGTCAGTGCCTAATCTATGCAAATTGCATATAATTACGTCCGTGTTTAAAATATAAGTTTATTTTAAAATTTATATTATTTGATTTAGTAAAACGAGGTTATACTTTTAAAGTAAATATTAAGATTCAAACTTAAACAAGGTGAAATAATGTTAACAACATTGACCACTTGATCAATTAATAAATCTCTAAAACTTATATTATTTAATTAAAATAAAATATTTTTAAACTAATTAAATATTTTTTTCTAAATGCGTAGTATAAGAATGGACACAGCGAGTTTAGGGCCAACAAGAGAAACTTGAACTATTAAAAATGACGACAAATAATACATATGGTTAGATGTAGTCACGTCCTTTGTGCACATTTTAAGCATAAGCATCTTGAATTAAAAAGAAGATAAGATAAAATGTTACTTTTTTTAGATCCGGAAAGTTCACTGTAAAATTAAGATTTCAAAAGAAGAAGAGATGGCAAACTACAAAAGATAGCAAACAAATAAATGTAAAAAATAAAAGACTCCATCCCATATCTACTATAAAGAGACTTCCCTGCTTCCTCAGAACTATCGCATTAATTGTTTCAATGGGAGAAAGTTTTTTCCACAATCCATGTTTCTGTGTAAGAGTATATATATGCAACCTTAAGCTGATGAGGCAGCATTCTTGGTGGTGGTGGTGGTGGTGCCCTCCTTGTGATCACCAAAGATACGTTGCCGGAAGTCCGAAACCATTAGAGGTAGACCCTTTCGGAGCGATACCTTGGGTTCCCAACCGAGCAACTCTTTGGCTCTTCCGATATCAGGCTTCCTCTTGTGTGGATCATCTTCTGTGTTCGGTCTGAACTCTATCTTCGCATTCGGGTCGATCGTTTCTTGTACCACCTATAACGTCATGGAGAAATCAATATTAGCGCTCTAACTTTCCATGGATAAATATTAGTAATTTACAGAGTTTAGGCAGTGAAAAAGGAAAATGTTTACCTCAGCAAGCTCAAGCATGGTGAATTCACCTGGGTTCCCAAGATTAAAAGGTCCAACGTGTTCTCCTTCCATCAAACGCATCAGACCCTCCACCTGTTTTAGCCCAGAGTTTTAGTTTTAACTCGATAATACCTCACAAATCTAGCTTACCTAAATTCAGACAATAAATAATTCCAAAACATGGTTTTACCAGATCAGAAACATATTGGAAACTCCTTGTCTGATTCCCATCACCATACACAGTCAATGGCTCTTTCCTTAAAGCCTGCAAATATTATTTAGTTGCTCGAATAAATAACAATCGAATAATTTCTTTTAAATAAAATTACTGAAATGAATAAAAAGGATACCTGAGCAACAAAGTTGCTGACGACGCGGCCGTCGTCGATGCACATACGAGGTCCGTAAGTGTTGAAGATTCTGGCAATCCTAACCTGAAACAATAATTTTTTATAAAATGATCGAATAGTGGAGATCATACTGCGTCGGAGAGAATAAAATATTTAATCTTTTTAATTAACTAAGATTAAGAATTAGTTTAATTATGTTAGCTAACCTCAACGCCGGCTCCTCTGTGATAATCCATTGTCAACGTTTCAGCAGTACGCTTTCCCTCGTCGTAACAGCTTCGGACACCTGTCATTGAACATTCAAATCAATTTATTTGGTTGGTTCCAGAAAAGAAATGTAAATAATTCAAAAAGCTTTTTCCAGAATTTAAGCATCAACAAACACAAACAAACAAATCTAAACTCCACATAATCCAAATTTACAGACACAACCACAGCACCGCCAGCATATTGTCAGTTTTCTTTTCTCACAGTTCCAAAACCCAAAAAAAGGAAAAAGAAGTGATAGCAGATACGAAAAACGTGTCATTGTGTCGTGAGATAAAAAGTAAAATTTGTGTGTTGGGGGGGGGGGGGAACGCCACTGATCATGGGTTTCGCGTGAAATGCTCGACAAGATCTAAAAATTTCTACAGCGCCGATGCCGGCAATACTCTTACAACTTCAAAAACAAGACAACTCATGTGTTAAGCGAACCAAACTCGGTTCCAAAAGAAACTAACCAATGGGATTAACGTTGCCCCAGTAAGTTTCCTTCTGAGGATGTTGCAGAGGATCTCCGTAGACTTCACTGGTACTAGTTAACAAGAACCTGGCACCAACTCTTTTTGCCAGCCCTAACATGTTCAGTGTTCCCACAACATTTGTCTTGTAAAAACGACATTCAAATTAAGGAGAGAAAAAAAAGAACAAATAATGCAAAAAACATATAGGAATTTGTAAATTAAATATTGAGTAAAATAAATAGCAAAAAAAGGATATGATAGTTTTGACGGGATTGAATTTGTAATGAACTGGAGAAGCAGGGCAAGCGAGATGGTAGATCTGATCAACTTCCAAGAGCAGAGGCTCAACGACGTCGTGCCGGATGAGCTCGAAGTTCGGGTTCCCGAAATGGTGCATGACGTTCTCCTTCCTTCCGGTGAAGAAATTATCGACCACGATCACGCTGTCTCCTCTTGCTATTAAACGGTCCACGAGGTGTGATCCTACGAACCCGGCTCCACCCGTTACGACGATCCTCAGACCCTTTCGCTTCAGCCCCAACGGAATCTTTCCGGTCGGATTGCCCGACCCGAAACCGAGACGGTTTTGGTAGGAGAATTTGTTTTGGGTCCCGATTGGAAAGTAGTTGATGGAATCGAGGATCGGGGTGTTAGTGTGGGGAGCAAGCGGAACACGTGAGGTTGGGATGATGGTGAAGATCAGGGTGGCTATGGCAATGCCCACAAGCACGAAGAGGAGGCGCTGTTCGCGGAGCAAGTAACGGGCGGCGCGTGTGACGGAGGCCCATGGTTTGTCCGGTTTAGGTGAATATGAATCCGAAGCAGGCTGGGTCTCATGGCCTCTGTATATAAGCTCCGACCCCATAGGTATTCGATTTGAAAAGAAAAAAAAACTGAACTCAAATTATAAGATTATAGAAAGAGAGAGATTTTCAAAAGAATTCTGGACAGTAAATCGCCAGGAGCCTAGGTCCCCGACGAGTTTGAGGCAGATTGGCGATGGGGTGGAAGGGGATTTGATGTAAGAAGACGAGAAGATTAAATATAAATAAAGGGCTCTGGGAAAGAGTGATATTACGAAAATGGCCTGCTGGGTGGCATTTTTTTTATGGATTAAATTGAAAAGTAAACAATTGTCGGCTATTTTCCCGGTATATCACCGGTGATCGGTATTATTATCGATTTAACATCGGTCAGATTATATTTTTCGATCTAACACCCTTAGTAGGAAAGCGTGCCTCTGCACCGCGTTATATGTTGATTTGGCGTCACGTAAGTATAACGCGCCCCCTGCCCCGCGATATACGGTGATCTGACATCACGTGGGTATAATGCGCCCCCGATCCGCGCTATACGCCACGTAGGGATATAGCGCGGATCAAGGGCCGCGCTATACGCCGTACCAAAATTATATTTAACGCGGTCTCTGATCTGCGCTATATCTTTTATTTGAATAATTACATATAGCGTGGTGCAGGTACCGTGCCTTATATGCTTATAAATACACTCTTCCGGCTCACATCTCCTCGCATCTCTCATCTCTTATAAATTAATACAACAATTCCGTCAACGAATAATAATTCTCGCAATCTTCTCAAATTTAATTTAGAAGTTCGTGTGATTTTTCGTTATAAGGTAATTTTGTTATAATTTTTTAATTATACTTATTGTTTATTATCATTATTTGAAAAAATATTATACTAATTATTTTCAATTAATTTTTATGTTTGTAAAATTGAAAAGCGGGAGCATACGTCGAAATAGTTTTACGGTGCAGGTAATAATATAAAATTATATTATTTAAATTATTTACGTGTAAAAAATTTATTGTGTTATATTTTCGTTCATATATAATTTATTTAATCAGGTTTGTTTAAGTTTTTTTTTGCAGATATAATATTGTCGCACTTTTAAACTCAAAGAATGGCACGACTTTCAACTATTGTTTATTATGATGGTGAAATTCGAGAAGATGAAACCGGCGTTGTTTTCGTATCAAATGAGCGTGTTAAAATATCATTCAAGAGAAACATAACTCTTCAGGAGCTAATAATGAAGATTTCGATGAAGATTCATGTTGGAAGTAACAGAAGAATGTCGTCGTTGCAGTACAGATTTTTCAACATCATTGTTGCCATTAACTTATACAGCGTTCGAACTTTCGAACAATGATGATGTTCAAATGATGGTTGAAGCTCAAAGTAATTATTCAGACGCCGCTATTGAGATGTATGCACATTTTGTTAAAGTGCGTCGGGGTCAATCTTTAAGCTCATACTATGGGCTGGCTGAACAAGTTGATAAAGTTGACAGCCCGACTACAATAATGTGTAATGATTTTAATGCCATAATGGGGAGACATTCATCCGCAACTCCTTACGATATGTACCGAGGTGGGTCCACGAATAATCCGTATGGCAACACCGCGTCCAGTTCAAGAGGGAGGCATTCATCTGCAAATTTCTTTGACCATATGGAGATGCCATCGACGCAACCATCTGTGCAGTTTCCATTTGACACGATGGCTTCAAGCTCCAGGGGGAGGCATTCAACCGCGAGCTTTTTCGATCTCAATGTCGATATGTCTTCCAGTTCAAGGGGAAGGCGTGCAAGTAGTAGGTTCTTCGACCTAAATGTGGAGAGCATAGAGGAACCATAATCTCTACCAGAAGAACTGCTTCGTGAGCCTGGTGCGGATGGTGCTGAGACTGGACTATTCATTCACCCAGAATCACCGCAATTCAACTCCGATGATGATGAAGTTATAGGAAATGTGGCA